GAAGGGACTGAACGTTTAGGGTTTAGAGTTTAGAGACTTGAAGGGGTGACAGTATTGTGACTTTGTTTGATGCAGGATTGCGTGAAATCTTGCAGTGCCGCTTCCCAGCAGATCTACAGAGTCTGGGTTCACAAGAGCTTAGGGTTGAGGATCCAAGGCTGGCGTGACGTTGCAAGCAAGTTGCACAAGGGTCCTTGGATCAGGACCCTGAGCCCCAAAACCCAAGGAACAAAAACCACGGTTTAGGGTACCCTAAACCCTGACCCCAAAACCCTAAACCCTAAACCCAAAACCCAGGATTCTTGTGGCGCCGCAGCACTTTGTTGTGGACGCGGAGTCGCTCCTGCCAAGCGGATCCCTGGCCAATGCCCCGTGCCGACATTCGAAGTGACCCCAAAGCTGGCATAAGCTAAGATGAGACATCACATGAAAAGAACAGGGCATTCAGATTGATTTAGAGCAGAGAGTGCATTTATATTTTACGATTGCTGGAGGCTTGGGCTTGTCAGATCCTCGCCCTGGTGCTGACGTCCACAGGGAATGCCATGCTCTTCGTGCCTGGTCTGCCGCTGCTGCAGGCAGAAGTCCGACATCTAGGACCGCAAACACTGAAAGGCCCAAGACGGAGAGCAGCAGGGTGGAGCCACAGGTGCTGGTGTTCTTCTCACTTGCAGGACCTGCGGCATCGGAGCGTGTCTCCTCCCTGCTGATGGCCGCAATGTCGGGAGGCGAGTTCCTCGGTCCCATCGCAGGCGGGGGGGAAATGTGTCAAACCGCTCAGCTTTGTTTCGGCCTGGATTGGGAGTGCCTCGCTACTGGATGCTACTGGTAGGTTTCTGTCGACCAGGCGGTGCCTTGGAGGAACGCTGTGGCTTCCGCGACTCCTCTGCGCTCTTCGCGGCGGGGCTTGCGCCAGGCGTTCCCATGGGACTGGTCGCCTTCTTTCGCCCCCAGGCCCAGGCATGGGAATGAATCTTCACACTGTTTGGGAAGCTGGGGCGATGCCGCCAGTCCAGCCGAAGCTGGGACCAGCCGCTGCTTGAGAGGCAGTTCTCGTACACGGAGGAGACAATTCAAAAATCACTCATTCCGTCTATGCAACAATGCGGTTTTTGCGCAAGCCAGGAGTCGATTGACTTGGCCAAGAACCTCACGGTCCCTTTTGATCCTGAGAGCGCCTATAGGCGCAGTCAGTGCAAACCCTAGTGCTTCTCACGCTTTCTCCCCTTGACAAACTCGAGTTCTGGATGGTCTGTGTCCTGGTCATGTGGCCTTGGATTTCACCTGGGATGCGGTCGTCAAACAAAGCAAGCCATGGAAGAAAGACTTCCAGGTACTCAGCCCAGGTCTCAATCTCCCTTCGTCCCTTGGACATCTTCGACCCATCCAAAGAAGGAATCTTGGGGATGTAAGCCTCGGCTTTCGGATTCCTGACATACGGAGTGAGAAAGCTCTACTCCTTAAACCCTAAACCCTACAGACCTTTCCCTTCTTTCTCGTAGGTTCCGACGCCTGGCTTTCCTGGGGCCGGAAGTCCGCAGGCGCGTGCACTCTGCTCCAGCGCAGGAGCGCGACCTGGCATGTACAGTAATGGTAGATGCAGGAATGGTTTGGGTCTTGGGCAAGGGAAGCATGCAAACTCGCAAAGTGCTCCGGCCGGGGCCACAGCTCGATGGCCAAGGTCGCCCCTTCGTTCCCCGATTGCCGGGTTCTTCCACAGCACCCTCCTCGATCTTCCGCCGGATCTTCCTCCCGGAGGCCTCCTTAGCCTTCCCTGCTGGCTCGTGCTATTTTGATCTCCTTCCAGCCGCATGAGGCCAAAGCCGCCCGGGCACCGCTACCATCCATCCCTGAGGCCGGGAAGGGGAGACATTCTCATTATTCAAGCCACGATAATAATAGCAACAATAGTAATAATAATAAGAATAAGAATAAGAATAAGAAGAAGAAGAAGAAGAAGAAGAAGAATAATAATAATGTTTCATGGCTGTCGCACGCTGCAACTGTGCAGGCTCGTCGGGCCAGCTCCTACGGACACAGTGGTCGCAGCGGTGGACAGGGAGAAAGGTCTGAGAGAAGAAAATAGAGCTCTACAGTGTCATTAAACGATAACGATTGTAAGGAATTCCGAAATAGCATTGGCAATTAAGTAGCATGGTCCCTATACTCGGCTACTGGGTAGCTGTTTTGTCGCACTTTTGTGACGGCTTGCTCCTCAGCTCGGTGGATCTTGGTCGTCCCTCCATGCCACTGCACTAATTGCACATTTGTCCCCAAACTCTTTTCTCATTGTGAAGGCCCGTATATAAGAGCTTTCAAAATCCTACAACATGCCTGAAGTGCCTTTGGATTACCCCTTAGATTAGGGCTCAATACGGCTGCGGCTGCAGGGTTTCGTGCCCAGGGCATGGGACCGTAGAGAAGCACAAACACATGGTGCAGTAAGCTGTAGTCTCAGGTTTTGCGTCTAACATCCTATTCTACAAATTCATGCTCCTAAATGACATGGTCCAGTAATCTGTAGTCTGAGAGTTTGCGTCATTTGGCCGCCCTACGAGTCATCATGTCGATTTGCGTGGATGTGCATCTGCTTAGTGGCAAGCGTGCCGCTGTTTGAGTCACTGATGCGCCTCGCCCAGAGTGCTCTGGTGGTCCCGAGTAGGGGGCGGCTGTTGAATTCTTCTCGAGAGGTGCTTGACGGAGCACAAACTGTTACGGAAGCGAAGTTGGAGAGTGGAGACGTGCTCACACTGCATGTAAACCAAGTTCAGCTTGGAGCCACCAAGCGCAGCGGTAGATTCTCTGCTTTCGCCGCGCTCCTGGGGGATGGATCTGTGGTCACCACAAAAGATGCCCGCTTTCTTGGCGACAGCAGTGCGGCACAGCATCAACTGAAGAACGTGGAGCAGATCCAAGCTTCTGAGTATACATTTGCTGCAATTCTTGGCGATGGATCTGTGGTCACCTGGGGTGATGCCCTCTTTGGTGGCGACATCAGTGCAGTACAGGATCAGCTGACGAATGTGCAACGGATCCAAGCTTCTGATCGTGCATTTGCCGCAATCCTGCGCGATGGATCTGTGGTCACCTGGGGTGATGCAGAATGCAGTGGCGACAGCAGTGCAGCACAGGATCAGTTGCGAGATGTGCTGCAGATCCAAGCTTCTGTTGGTGATCCGTCACCTGGGGTGATGCCGACTCTGGTGGAGACAGCAGTGCGGTACAGCAGCAGCTGAAGAACGTGCAGTCGATCCAAGCTTCTGATCATGCATTTGCTGCAATCCTGGGCGATGGATCTGTCGTTACCTGGCGTGATACCGACTCTGGTGGAGACAGCAGTGCGGTACAGCATCAGCTGAAGAACGTGCAGCAGATCCAAGCTTCTGCTAATGCATTTGCTGCAATCCTGGGCGATGGATCTGTCGTCACCTGGGGTGATGCCGACTCCGGAGACAGCAGTGCCGTACAGCATCAGCTGAAGAACGTTCAGCAGATCCAAGCTTCTGATCATGCATTTGCCGCAATCCTGGGCGATGGATCTGTCGTCACCTGGGGTGATGCCGACTCTGGTGGAGACAGCAGTGCCGTACAGCATCAGCTGAAGAACGTGCAGCAGATCCAAGCTTCTGAAAATGCATTTGCCGCAATCCTGGGCGATGGATCTGTCGTCACCTGGGGTGATGCCGAATGCGGTGGCGACAGCAGTGCGGTACAGGATCAGTTGCGAGATGTGCTGCAGATCCAAGCTTCTGTTGGTGCATTTGCTGCAATCCTGGGCGATGGATCTGTCGTCACCTGGGGGAACGCCGGTTTAATATCAGCTGCGTGATGTGTAGCAGACGTTCCCGACGAGAAGGGAAAAGCAGCTTGTGATCTGATGGCTTTCATGGGTTGCTGTAGGTTTCAGTAAAAATCATTATCGTTTACGCTCGCGGCGCACATTTTCAATATTATTTGGCCATGCAGCCTTAGCGCCGAAAGTTTCTCGGCCAGTGTTCAAGCGATTCAGCAAGAGCTGGTCATGATCGCAGGCAAGAGAGTGCGAGAAGAGCTTTGCATACCGAATTGTTCGTCCGTTTGTAATATGAGTGGGTTAAAACCCTGTCCGAAGCATTACAATAGATGATGGGTACTGCCCCTACTCAGTAACAGTCAGATAATATTATATTATGGATATATTAAGCCCTTAATAGTAACCTTACTATAGACTGTTACTGAATGGGGGCAGTACCCAAAATAAATGTGTTATCCAAGTACACCTTGCCCGGTAGACCGGACCCCTTCCTCCAACCTGAAGCTGCTGATGGTCCAGGTCGTCTCCAATCGTATTCCGGGTCGTAGTAGAATCGTATCGTGATACGTAAGTCGCAAGTTGTACGTCTATCGTATGTAAGATCGTATCGTGCATTCGTATTGATATCCTATCAGATCTGTGAAAGAATAAATCCTGGATCAAGACTCCTACAGGGAGTCCCGGGTCAGAACTCTACCGTGTACAGGATGGTGAATCTTTCCGGGCCTAACCTCAAAACTGGGCGGGCCTTACGTTCCACCTCGACTCGCCGGTATTGCGAATACAGGTCGTGCCAGTGACCATATGCTTTCAATTCAAGCATGCGACTTAGGACCATTGCGATAGCTTTCAACATAAACTGGGCGCCCTATGCTTGGGAAATCACGTCATATGCCGCAGCGTTTTGGTTCGAAGCAAGGGCGCGCCAGATCACCGACACCGCCACTGTCAGATGGCATCATGAGTCATGTGTTGTGACTTGTGACAGAAACACGAGGAACCCAACAAACTCGTCAAGGCATGGATCAAAAGCTCGAACATGTTTTTGGGAGCCTGCCACGGATGGCAAAAGCCATGTCGCTGTAGTTCGCCGGGTGAGGACCGGGTGAAACCATGGCGAAAATCACGGCGCCACGCTTGAACAGTTTGGTTTGTAGATGTTGAGAGGTTGTGGAAAGGCTGATGCCCAGGTCCTGCCGGACAGTGAGAGCTTGGGAATTGTGGATGTCTGAAGCTCAGCCTGACTAGCTGCTGGTGTTTATCAAGAGCAGAAACCAACATATAGCTTGGGCAATATGCTCGCCAGGTGCAGCAGCTCATGGAAGATCGTGGGCCTCTGCCGCGCACCCGTTGACATTGTACATTCCTGTACTCCGTACTCCCTGGCATGGCCTGTCCGTGTAGGCTGTGCTGGATGCTCAACATCGCATTTGAATCCCGACGGCTCGGAGTGGGGCTTCCGCTTGACAGCTTGTAACATATCCTGCTCATCCTATGGGTGCAAATTCGAGGGAGTAGGTCATCTTGTTCCATGTGTGACTGACACGTGCCCCCCGCAATGGGCTGATCGGCAGTTGTGGTGGCGCTGATGGTCCAACGCTTCTCTCATGACGCAGCTCGGCACGATGCCATCTCTTCTCCCGAGATGCTTGTAGCAGTCTGTGCGACAGGGATGCGCCAGTGCCTGGTGAGACGGCACCTTTGGCAGTTCATGATTCTTTCAGAGCAGGCCGGGCAAATGGCTTGCGGAGAAGCGCTTCCCTGCCACATGCAGTCGAGGGTGGTTTTGAACCAACGTCTTCTAAACGGAAGAAACCACATTTTCAAACCGCATTTAAGCGCGTCCTTGAAAAGAAAGCATAGAAGAAATTTCACTACCTATGGAGCTTGCGCCATGCCGTGCTAAACATAAAGCCGTCACGAGCACTCGCACGTGTAGCACGTCTGTGCGAAACACTCCAAAAACCTGACAAAGCTCGAGGTGCAGCCGGCTTAGAGCAAAATGACGAGAGGCAAATTCGTTTGTTCGAATGCTCGAAAGCCAAAGATTTTATAATGACACGTATAAGTGTAAGACCATGTAGCAATCAGGCAGACTGAAGAGGATAGACTCAGACGTATCAGGCCGTCAGATCTGGTATTGATGGTTGTTCGGGTACGTGTTTCGTAACCTCCGGGCTTAGAGCCTAGCTCACGCAACGACAGGTTTACGAGAGGATGCAGCGAGGCCTTTCTTGCTTCTCCGGCTGCCCCGCTTCGATTCTATGACCCGTAGAGGCACGGTGCTGCATCATCTACACGACGGAGACCCGGTCCATCATTTGCACCAGCACGTCCCGTCAACGTGCCAACAAAGGCGCAGCAGGCGTCTTCTGTCGGTGCTGTTCGACATGGACGATGTAAGCTCATCAGATTCTCGTCAGGCGTTGCAACTTCAGATGCGGCAACTGGAATTGAAGCAACTGGCGTTGCAAGTCAAGTTGAAGCGCCGGCAAGAAGAGCAAGTGTCTCGCCCACCGTTCAGCGGCTCCTTTTGCTCATGCTTAGGATTTGCGAAATCACATGGTTGACCCAACATCAATTTGGGAGTTTCAATTTCACGAACCCTACAAAGTAACACGATCCTTATTATGAGATGTTACGAGGACCCTTAACCCAAACCAGGTATCCCTGATCTAAGACAACCCCCAGCCCTCTTTGCATGTTTTTACCCTGCAATGCGGAATAGCTAGGCGGGAGGCACAAATTGACTTGTCTCAGGCCAAAGAAGTCGACCGGGTTTTGGCAGCCAAGCAGCATCAGCTCGAGCGCGAACGGCAACATGCTTTCCTGGAGGTCGGCACGGAACGCGGTCCTCGCAGCGCAATCATCACTTCTGTCCGAGTGAACATGATGATATTGCTGATTATGGTGATGGTGATGATGATGAGTGTGAATCCCGTCTAGGAGTTTCTGTGAGTTTATCTCCGTACAGCGATGATGATGACTATGTTCGTGATGGTCATGACCATTTTGTAGTTTTTGCCTATGTCGCTGTCGTTGTTACTGCCAGAAGCAGAAGTATGGCAGGCAGTGTCAATGTGCCCGACATATCAGAACAAGTATATTCCGACTTCTTCTCCTTTCATTGCCTAGCATGCACTAACATTGTCAGTATGGCCAGTCTGCGTATGATGCAAGTCCTCCTTCTGCATATCAAGTCGTGGCACGGTCTTACAACTACTTTCCTTTCCAGCAATGACCAACAGTGATAGTCACCCAGCATTGTCGCCAAACCAGACTTAAATAAGCAATTAAACACATGCCACCAGTAGGGAGAATGACCACAATACGAGCAAACAGATGCTAGCATCTAGCAAGAGCGACAGTATCCGTGACAAGAGCCATGCCAGCGACACTGGTAGCATCTGCGCAAACAATCGGAACAACCTTGTAGTGGCAAACAAATGGAGGGAATATTTGCCATACACGACAAGCGTTACGACACCACATCTTGCCTTCGAAACGGACACGACGACAATTGCAAAGCCGTCAACAAGAACAAGCAATGGAACGAGACAGCGATTCTCCTCAACGGTCTCTTACTCGTCTTATTTAGGATTTGCAGAAAACATAGCTCCCTATTGCAGAACCCTCAGCAAGAGGTCATAATAGGTCCGTCATTGGAAAGACCTAGTTAAAGAACACCATCGAAGCTCCAGTGGAGGCTCGCGAGAGGGAGCGTGGTCTGGACCTTCGTCCAGGTCCGGGCTTTCCAAAAGCTGTGCCTGATGGGCTTCTATGATCGGGCCGGGCTTAGCCGGGCGGAGAAACCAGAATAAAAAGGGCTTAGAATCTTCAATACAAAGAGTTCTTGGTTCCAAAAGAGCACCCTTACAGAAACCCTTATGGAGCCCTTTAAGGAGCCTTAAAAGGGTCCCTAATGTAGAGAGCTACCCACATGCAAGGGGCCACCGAAGCGTCGCTGGCTTTCGGCCAGGACTGGCGATCTCCTCTCCTCGTCAGCTCCAAGATTCGCCTGTGGAGTCTGCCGAGGCACCGGGGTTTTGGAGTTTAGTTTTAAGATCATGTGCTGAGCTATATTGCAATACTTATAACAATTCAATAGTAGCAATATTAATAATCATGCCAATTAGCAACAATTCTACTAATACTACAAATAATAAGAATAACTAGAAGTTTTAGTAATGGTAGATCGAAGAGATCCATCACCTTACATGTAGCGGGGGGGGGGGGCGTCGCACATGATAACAGCGGGAAGTTGTCCTCATCCTCTCAGATCCCGTGTGCTCTAGTTGTTGAGATTGTCATGTCAATCTGCCAGTCAACCACGACAAGCCGGGTTCGCTGAAGCTGTTGTGGTTTTGGTTGGCGGTTTGTGGGAGGAGCTGGTGGAAGACAGCGATGGCTCTTCACCAAGACGGCTAGTGATTCGGGTGCAAGATGCCTGCGCGATCGAAAGAGGGAGTCTTGGCAGACATGTGTGGGCGCTTGCAGCACCGCTTGGGCTGTTCTAGACGACGTCATAGTGCTTCAACAAAGCTTCAACTGGCGAACAACGAGGAGGGAGAAGGCCGCGTACAAGGCTCTGATGGCAGAGCAAGCCGCTCTCCGGGAAGTGGCTGCAAGGGACGAGGCGCCAAGATGCCTTACTGTAGGCCATGTAACATCATGTTAGGCCTATTGGGCGCAGTCGCTTCTTGTGGCCCCCTTGGTGAGGCAGCGAAGCGGGAACAGGCTGCCAGAAGGATCCAAGCCTTCCGAAGGGCAAGCCAGTGCCTCGCAGCAATGTGCGTCATCTGATCGCATCCCAGCACGTGCCTGCAAGAGTGCACCCCTCCGTGCAGGGTGCAACGAGAAAAAGCCCACGCGACATCCGAGCGTTTGCAGCGTGCACATCGTGAGCAAGGTGGGCACGGGTTTGGGCACTTGACGAGGGGTTTGGGGCCACAGTGTAAGCCGGGCTTATTCAATCGCATCTTGATGTGCCTGCACCATTGCAACAGGTTCGTTGTTCCAGCTGCAGGTTCAGTCACTACCACCAAAGCCTCAGACGTGCAAACCTCAAAATGAGGCGCCCAACATGGCCGGAGTGCGCCAGCAAGCCGAAGCACGAGTCCCCAACATCGACGAGATGAGGCGCCTCATCGCTCCGTTGGTTAGCAGCTGCCAGGACAAGCAAGTTCATCATGAAGGATATGGGAGTTTCCGAAAATAAGGGGTACCTTGTTTTGGAGGTCTTATAATAAGGATCCTACTAATTAGGGTGCGGTATGAAGGTTCACCTGACGGGTATGGATTCATCGACTCGTGCTTGGGGGCTTTTCAAAGTGCTCGCGATGAACTGCTGTGTACCGTACGATGAAGAAGAATCGGAAACATGACGCCGTCATGGCAAGGCAGCCGTATTTTCACCGGCTGCTTTTTACAGTCATTGTTTGCTGCGTCGCTGTCTTGTGGCTTAGGTCTGCGTTGACTGAGGTAGCATTAGTGGTAGTGGTAGTGGTGGTAGTAGTTGGTAGTAGTCGTCGCAGTCGTAGTCGTAATCGCAGTCGTGGTCGTCGCCGTCCTCACTCGTACTTGCACTATGTCGGTGACGACGAGGGCTAGTGTTACTGCGACGAAGACGAGCTCTAAATTAGGGTCCATTTTAGGGTTCCTTTTATAAGGGGCTCCTCCTTCTCCTCCTCGATCTGCTGCTTTTGCCGCTTCAGGGTTGTGGGTGCAGGCAAAGCAAGCAAAGGGGCGAGCTGCCTCGGAGTCGCCCCGTTTGCCCAGAAACCTGGCGGCAAAGAAGCCCCAAGCCTAAGCCCCCAGACACTTCGCCTGGTTTGTGGAGTTCTGACACTTGAGACTTGAGAGATGCGTTTGCAGGCCTGGTTTCTAGATTTCATCAGGTAACAGTTGTTGTGAGTTCTTGCCGGCCATTACAAGAGTTCACGCCGAATGCTTGGGAGAGGACTTGCCTCCTCATTGCTCTCGCTCCACAGCAAGTCCGCACGCACTAGGGCCTTAAGCACTGCACCGGAAATGTGCTGCCAAATGCCACCGACAAAGCTCATCGCTCTCGAAGAGACCGCCGACCAGCTCCGCCCGATGTGCCAAGTTGTGATACTTGAAACTCCAAAGCCGGGTTGTTGTTGTCGTCTTGCTAGCCTTACCTGACAGCCTCCTGTACAGGCTGACACGGACCGAGCACAGTGTTACAGCGTATCGCTACAGACCTTGCCAGGTTTGTCCGAGTGTGAGTGTCAAAAAAAAGCCAGGTTCTGGAGTTTTCGGCTTGTCGTTGAGGCAGCTCCTCAGGCAGCTCAGGGGCCATCCCTTTCGAGCAATGG